GAAGGTGGCATAGCGGCTGTATTTTGCAGTTCAAGAAAAAAAAAGTGTGCGTTGACTTTTACAAAACACATTACAATTCTGCGCACATACCAAAAACATAAAAGCTTTGTATACATTTTGAAAGCTAGAGTGTCTACTCTGAAGAGAATTTAATAACATGGACGAGTCTGGTGATTAGACTGTTCAGTACAATGATATCATTGAAATGATACTCTCCATTGACATGTAGATGATATCTCTTTCCCTTTCAGGCATGTCACAATGGAACTTCTTATCATTCACAGCCCCCTAAACATGCCATGACTTGGACAGGAGGTGGGGGTTCTATGGTGAAGAGAAACCCAGACAATACAGAGCTAATAGAGAAGAGATTCTGAACAAGTTGAGACAAGATCTGGAAAAAAGACATATTGCCATGAAGAATTATTACAAATTATTGACACATGATGCAGGTCTATCAAGCATTAACAAGACAATGAGTGCCATCGCCAAGCAACCATGTAAACAGCCTTTTTCTGCATTAAATCAAATAAATACAGGAACCACACTTGGCATGAAGATGTATGCAAAGAACACTGACCAGACACACTGATTTTTGTTGCACTCAAATTGTAAAAACGTCAGACCCAAACAGACTTATTCTTGCCTATCCCTATCAATGGCTTTAGGCTGTCAAAGATGCTTTTTTGTACGAACAGCAATGTTGCTTCAGCTGTCATGGCACAGTCTCAGCTAGAAGCAGTTTTGAAATCATGAAGTGTTTTCCAAGCTGTACAAGATAGCTCTCTGGCAGCGCAGCTCTACTGACAGTCTTTATAGACTTCAGTCATTATTCAACACCGTCTGCTTGTATTCAGTAAGATTGTGCCTATAGGAAACCACCATGACATAATTCAGTGAGTTACTCTCTTGTTAAAAACTTGGCAAGATATCTTATTACCCATTAATTGTCAAACTTCAAAGTTTTCAGTTACATCGCTTAAACTGTGTCCTTTTGTTCCAATGCAAAATCTTCATGTTTATACTTCTTATCATAATAATGAGGGCTGGAATTACACAACTCAAGTTATTCTCTCATATTTACCCTTTGATGAAAATGTGCCAACAGCAAAGTCCTTCACTCAACTGTCATTCAATGGAAAGACATTCATCAAACCACTAAGATGTGAGCTGGGGGAAAGAACCAGTCAGATCATTTTATTGGGTTCCAGTTCATGCAAACACCCTTTGCAGTGTTTCCCCTAGGTTTACTGCTTTGGGGGGGTGCTGCTGAGCAGGGGGGGGGGCTCCGTTGGCGGGGCGCAGCGCCCCTCAAAGACAATGGTAGGGGAAACACTGCCCTTTGGCTATATGACATAAATCAATGCACCTCATCAAAAGGCCCAGACAGGCTCTTCTGAAGTTCTGAGGAGTCTAAACACCTTCATTACATTCTGCGTTACTGACGGGATGGTGAGAGGAAGTGGTGGGAAAGGGAGTTATGAGTGCAGGTGTGAATACTCCATTAGGTGATGGGAGCGAGCTGTAATGGCTTTAGTTTGACGATTCAGTTAACCTCTCCCTTTTTGGAACTCAAAAGGAATTTATAACTTTCTCCAGCAAAGTCATTTCAGTGCAAACCAGTGTTTCCGCCAGACCAGGGCTGAGAGGGCGTCCACCCTGAGAGCGGGGTGTCCACCCCGCTCTCGTGTGATGTCACGTTGTATCACGTTGTGTCACGTGACTTGAATTTTGAATTGAGCCGTCCCTTAAGTTATAGATACTATCTCTTTACGTATTAGTGATGGGAATTCCGGCTCTTTTTAGTGAGCCGGATCATTTGGCTCGGCTCACTAAGAAGAGCCGGCTCTTTCGGCTCCTAAACGGCTCTTCATGTTACCACAGTTTACCACGGAGCCTCAGTTTCGCTGCTGCGAGGCTCCGGCGCTCGCAGTTCACGCACGTGCTCCACTAGCCGCCCCCCCCCCGTCAAGGCTCGCCGGCAGTACACTTTCCATCACAGGAACACGCTTTGCTGGCGGCAAACAGAATCCCACCAGACTCCTTTGCCCCTCCAACAGAGGGATGTTCTTGTCCTTTTTCCTTTTCAAGCTATAAAAACTCGATCTTCTCTCGAATTATTATTTTTTTTGGACGCCCTCGGCTCGAGTTCAGGGCGTTCGGAGCTGAATAAGGGCGTCAAATGACGGCAAGACGCCCCCCTGGCGGAAACGCTGGTGCAAACCACATTGTGAATGAAGTACAACACATATAATTGCTTTGTGAGGAAATGTCAATATCCTGCTTTACAGTTGGCAGAAAAGTGAATTTTGTCCCATAACTTTGTAAGGAATATAATACATGTATGATGCAGGTTTGACAGTTCAGGATGCTGTTGTGATGCTGCTGCAACCTTTTGGTCAAAATCCCACAATAACTATCAGTTTCAGGATGCAACTATGGTAAGAAACACCAGAAGATGAAGTTGACAGAAAAGCATAAATCAGGCTTTCAACAGAAGTCTTAAGGGCTTCTGTGTGGTTACAAATATTCTCACCTGCCAAAACAATTCAGTAGGGGCTCCAAAGAAAATCATACCAAACCCATTTGTTGTGAATAGGGCCAAGAACGACACACCAAAGTAATTAAACATGCCTTTGTGAGACATGTCGATGTTATGATTGCCTTTTTATATATTTAACATGGACGGGCCATTGTTTGAAATGGCAAACTTTTGGAATGTCAGAAGATTGAGATGGCTTTGCAATCAAGACGTCAATATTGCACTTGGGTCTTTGACATCATTTAAATGAATAAAAACAGCTAAGAGTACAAACCCAAAAATGTAAGAGAGGACTAGAACAGACAAAGGAAGTGAACGTTCTGCTTACAACCAAAGATGTAAGAATGACAAAGTGAACAACACAGGGCACATAAGTCCTCTGAGGACGCTGTCTAGAGACAAACAAGGGGCCGTTGTTATAACATCTAGCCTGAAGTCCTGACATCATATATGACACAGCAGTTGTATATAATAAATCAAACTCAGGCCTATGGGATGCTGACTGGGGCTTTGTGTTGGTCTATTCAGTCAGGATTCAGAGACCTGTCTCTGGTTGCCTGAGGTGACTGGAGGACCGTCACCAGGTGTGTATGGGTAATGAAATCAGTCCCCACGGGGTAAGGGTGATAGAAGAACAACAACACACAGGAGTGGTATCAGTTCACTCCCGCCTTTATAGCCTTCATTCCTGACCTGCCTCAGAGATTCTGGGTCAGTAGTGGCTTTTTAAAGACTTGATAAAGTCCTTCAAATAGTTTGGTTCTGCTAAATAGGCCTGTGATGGTGCCTGACACCTTTAAAGAGGCTCTGTCATTTTCATTACTGCTTTAAGATGTGATACACTCAAATCTGTTTAAACACGGTGTTGTAATAGCGAGCTACACATGAAAACATATCAGGTGGTATGTAAAATACCAAGAGTTGAAAACCCCCTCAAAAACACAATTTCTCAAACGAGACATGTGTATATTAACATGCTCTCGACACTCTTGAGAATATAAAAAAACAGTTGTTACTGTCAGCCTGGAGGCAGCATTGAGAAATGCAATGAATATAGCACTGATGATTGGTGGAACAGTTGAGACAATAGAGATGCAGTGTGGCTGCTGATGACAATACAGATTCAATAAACATGCAAGGATTCAACAATATGGCTTAGCCAAGCCTTCATAAATAAAACAAAAAATGACTGTGAAATTAATAAATGTACTCAAAAATCGAAACATAAGGAAAAAAAGTACACCTGTTGGCACACAAAGACAGTAGGCAGCATTATTTCATGAGTCATCCCATTTTTCTATTGTAGGCTATGACTAGCAATAGGCCTTCGAGTAATACAATCTGCAGTGAAATATTAAGCCAATGTTAACTAAATGTTAGTCTAGTCAAGTAGAGTAGATCTGTACCATGTGGTGGAACCGCAACATTAGAGCTGAGAACTTGTGATCAGATGAACAACACTCTTAGGTTATCACTAAGGCTATCGCTCACCATGACATTTATCAGTTACATGTAATTGATTGAAGAGTATGGGGGGCCCACAGCCTTTCTCTTTGCCGAGGCCCCATAATCCCGACCAACGCCCCTGCTACATTAAATCACTCACTTTATGCAACGGTGGGCTCCAGATCACATTTTTAAGCCTTTATGTAAACCTGCAGAGCTGTGACAGCATTACAACAACATGCAGCAGATAATCAGCCGGCCGTCAGGGCTTGAAGGCTGACAAGAGCACAGCTCACTGCAGGATGACAAAGTCAAATGCAATGAGGGCAGGCAAGTGTCGTGATTGAAATTCTCCCAGAACAAAACCTTGTTTGTGTGATTATTGTTCACCAGGCTCGCGATGAGGCAAAAATCCATTCCACATGATGCATTCATTGTTTGCAGCCAAACACGCAACAGGCCCCACAGCAGTCACAGCTACTGTACAATGGCCCTGGCCAAAACCAACTGAGAGCCTGCTGCTACATTAGGAGAGTCCAGCACAACTAGGTGCAATATACTCTTTAGTTATTTTTGTATTTAGGCTATATCATTACACATTAAGAATGCAACTTTTTATTTTTAAGGGTTATAATGTAGATGTTCACTCAGTATTTGGTTTTAGACTCAAGTAATTATAGGAATTCAATATAGCAGAAGATCAGAAAATACCAATAAAATCCACATATTGACAAACAATGACAACAGCCACAAAGTAAACCCCCCAGAAGAACTTAAAGAATGTTGTTGGAAAGATTTCGTCAGAGTCTGAGTCAAATAATTGCAGTTTGAGTAACCTTTCAACAGGTGACGAAGCAATCAAATCAAACTGCGGTTTAAAGGAGAAGGTGCTGCAAATACATGCTGCTAACCAGTAACTAAGGCCACACAATGACAACAAAACACCTGTGCGAAAAATGAATCAAAGTCCTGAGGAGTTAACACAGTATTTGGACTCTGTTTTGTCACTCACCTCTATCCATGTCTGCGCCTCCTGAAACGCGGAGTCTGCGGCCGCCTCGCTGACAGGGGGATGCTGATGAGACTGTCCTATGTCTGCAACCGGACTTGCCATTGGCGAGGAAGCTCTTCTCTCAAAGTATACAGTAAAGCCTTTACAAATGTGTGAAGGCAGCTCAATGCAGCGTTATTCCACCAGACTTTTGGGTTGGTCAGCCGGTTGTCCTCAGTCTGTTGTAGGTGTTGCAGCAGCAGCAGCACCGGCGAGGCGAGCGGACCAGTTGCTGCTCTCCAGTGTCGCTCCTGGTGGAGTCTGTGAGGAGAAAACCAGCGTCAAGTCACACACAGTCAATCACAGGGCTTCCGGTGTGACCCTTCAAAATAAAAGCTTTAGCCGAGGAAAGCACAAATAATGTTTTTTAAGTATTTTAATAAATGCAACAAGATAATTCCTTGTTAGACAAACATTGTGTGGCTTCTGCCTAATTCAAATACTATTTTGAGATCTTATTTCCTGTCAAACTACTTCTGTTTTGATAGCTATAAGATATTTTCCATGCTACTCTGTCCCGTTAAAACAGAATACAGGAAAGTCCTTACTCTTAAATGGACTCAAATTGCTATTAAACAACCTTAGTAGTTTGTAAGGAGCAATTGTTCTGTTTGTGGTTTGTCAGGTACACATGTATTGCCGTAAAGCTAGCTAAAAACGGTTTCAAAACAAAAGCTTTAGCCGAGGAACATAGCCTACTGAACAATTGTCGGCCTCCAAATACAACATAAATACTTTTTATTAAACCAAGCAACAACAAGAGATAACCTTGTTTATCTCGCTTCTGCGATTTATATTTAAAATATCAAATTTCCTGTCAAACTACTCATGTTTTGAAAAGCTATAAAATATTCTCCATGCGCTAATCTGTCCTGTTAAAGCTAAAAACATAAAATGTCTTACTCTGAAATGGACTCCAATTAGTATTGAGCAACCATGGCAACTATAGTTTTTCCGAATTAAGTTGCTTTTGTGGTTTGTCACGTTCACATGTGTTAACGTAATGTTAGCTAACAACTGACGTAAGCTAGCTAGATAGTTCGTTTCTTGATTAGCTTAACCAATGTTACAGTTTAGCTCCTGTACATGAATTCGGATAATGTGCCATAGAGAATGTTAAGTTAAACTAGCCTGGTAATGAAACATTGAGGGCGGTGGAAGACCATAGATGTATAACGTAAAGGCAATGTTAACTTCCGTTTTATTCTCCCAGACAACACTTACCGCTGTTTTGAAGACATTTCAAGGTTCCTCAGATTCATTAATCCAAAGAAGGGAAATATTATTTAAACCGCTTCACAATTTAAACTGTGTTGCCAGTTGCACGTCTCGAACTCCAACGGCAACCGGAAATTAATCTTCTTCTGGCTTTATTTTGGCGGTAACGTAACATCCATGGTAGGGATTTACCTTTATATATACAGTCTATGGGATTTACACATCCAAAATGCTTTTTTTGCAGAACAAAACAGCAAGAAACGTGATTAATTGTATGTAGTATATGTGTTGAAAAGGTGTAGCCTTATATTTATGTTATTATTGGACAGATTTGTAGGGAATTTATTTGGAAATGTCTCTAAATGGGGGTGTTTCTCAAAGTTTTCCTGTCATGTTTTTTTTACTATTCAGAACTAATGTCATTATTAACAGCCTTAAATGTTGATGCCTTTCTGATTGTGAATAGATTCCTACCCATTTTTAAAAAACCTTTATTAATCGAGAGTAATTTGCAATAACATGTGAATAACATTGAATGGTGCAAATACATTATAGATTAAATACATTTCCATTTATGTATGAAGTGTTTCTTAACCAGATCAAATGATTAACCAAAAATTACACCTTTTTTTCCTTTTAGCTTTCAACCCATTGGTCTCATGGATGTATTATTATTTTTGAAATCCACCTGCCATTAGTTAAGGCTCTTATTTAGGTAACAAAGCCGCGTTGCTTCCGGTAGTAGTGTAGTTGTTTCTCTCTGACTTGACGCAGCTGGACTGACAGGACTACTTGCACGCCGCAGTATTATCCGCTCCAATGGCCAAAAATACACAGAGCAGTGCAGCCAATGAGGGCAGCAACACACAGGGGATCTCACACACACTTTCACTATGTGGGGCAACCGAGAGAGTAGAGAGTTCACTGAATTACAGCAAAAACACTCAAAACAAAGAGCCAACTCTGATCTCCAACTAAATTATACTGTTTTAGAAAATGTCTGTATGTTTGCTCTCATAGCACTTGCATCAGTTTGATTCTGGAACATAGCTAAAAGAAAAAAATTGATATAACTAATTAAACTACCTTTTGCAATTTACAGTCAGGTAAACTAAATTCACCTCTACCAGGTTTATACCAAAAGATGAATAAGCCTAATGACATATTTATCAAGTAATACGGAAGGCCCTAATATAAACTTTGTGTTGAATTAGAAAATCCATAATGTGTTTTAATGGTCAATTCAAATACAAATTCCTCAGTCAGCTAGATTTTTAGTTTTTGTTGCCAGGGCCATTGTTAAGGCTATTTTGGGAGATAAAAGGGATCCTCTATTTGGCAAAAAACAAGAACAAACCCGCATAAACATTGTTTGATTAGCTTTCATCTTGTATTTAAATTTGATATCTTCCACCTTTCCACCTGTAAACATAATCATTTGTGTTAACTGGAGTGTACAACCACGTTAATGAATAATAACTTTGGATTAAAACCAACTCTTTCGCTCCAGAAGTATTTTAATGACATTTCTAACACAGTCTTAACGTGTAATATAAGCCCACTTTGGTCAATGAAATGATTTAGAAAAACAAACAGCCTACACAATTATTATTATTATTATTATTATTATAAGTCACACACACATGATTTCACAATTTTAAAACACTATACAAAACAGCATTAAAAGCTATTAGTTTAGGAAACTGTATCCTTGGTGAAATGACACCCACATAGACTGTTCTGGAAACTGCAGCATACCAAAAGTTGTCCACAGGCTCTGTGTAAATATCTCTGCTGACCTCTGGTGGAATAATGCAGCAGTACTGAACACAGGGAGGAGGAGCTTCAGGCAGTGTGTGTGTGTGTTCAGTCGCCACTCCTCTTTCCTCAGGCTTTGATTTCCTGGATACCAGAAACAGTTCAGTGTTTTTCTTTCATTCAGTCTTTCTCCCGAAATATCTGTCTTTAAAGGAAATCATGGTTTGTTTTTCAGTCAGCCGGCTGTTTCCTTTATGCTGCTCACCCTCTTGACTTCCAGGAGTCACACACCATCTGTGTTTGACAGGACACACTCTTAAATCTGGACGGGCAAAGGGCAGCTTGGCAAGTAGTAGCCTACCTACACCTCTACTGCACATATTATTACTCATGTATTACTTCTGTCTAAATAATTCCTTCAATATTCATCTAAAAAGGTTACATTTTACACGTTGTACATTTTACTCATATAATCTGTTCAGTATTTATACTCCATATTCCATATATTTTGAATATATATATATTTGTATATATATATATATAATATCTGCATGTATATTTTCTATTTCGACATGTATATTTTATATTTAATATTTTATTTTATTTTTCTTTCTATTCTTGTATATTTTGTAGTTTTGTTTTATTGTAAAATGCCTTTTATGCTGCTGTAACAATAACAATTTCCCAATTTGGGATCAATAAAGTACTATCTATCTATCTATCTATCATTTCATTGTTTTTAAAGTGACTAGAACTACAGTGTCCACTTTCTTACAAGTGTAAAGACCTATAATTCAGTCATTTTTTGTTTCTAGAAGAGGATGCTCATAAATCAAGGATATTCATTCCTAATTAATAAACAGCAGATGTATTCAGTGAAGGCATTTCCTGTTAGTCAAGAAGTTAAATATGTCTCTCTCTTATGAATTCTACTGTAGTTATAGCTATATGTATTACCATAAAGTGTCTGCAGAGGGCGCCAGAGCTCTGTGTTTTTTAGGTTTTATTTGGTTGTTTACTTGTTATCAACAATAACCAATAATTATGAAAACATTTAATGATATATATAACGCCAATTTGTGAAGGCTTTTTCGCCCATCGCACTAGTTCCCTCACCTAAAATATTTTTGGATTATTACAGTAAATAAGCTTAGTGGCAAACAAACATTTCTGATACTGCAAAATAAGACTGAAAAGGACACAAAACAACTACAAATGAATCAAGATTAGAACAAAGTTTCAACACGATTAATAGACGTAAAAATAATATAAAGGGAAGCTAAACAACAAAACAACCAAGTGGGTGCAAAACGACTTATAATTGACTAGTAAATGGGCACATTTCTACAACATCTCCAATTCTGTCAAACCTAAGAAGAAAAACACGTGAAACAGTTAACATACAACTTACAACATACAAAACATTGGACATTTATTTTTGTATTACTATTTCTAACATAGTAGAATCAGAAAATAGCTCATGATTTGTGGCAAACAGTTGCTTAAAAAAATCTGTTGAAAACAAGGAGAGTTTTTACTTTGAACTCTTGATCTGGTCATTTGCACAAATAACTAGAGGTGTGATTGAACCAAACGTTAAGCTAAAAATAGCAATTCCAACAACTATGTGATACCAAATGTGACACTTCAGTCTCATTCCTGAGTTGATTTCAGCTGATCTCCTTTCAGGTTTCAGCGCTTCCTTCCGTCTCCTCCTGAGTTTTAAAAATGTGGCTCCTGGTTGTTTCCGCCCCGCTGCTTCCCGCCATCTTCATGGTGTCCAGGCGTTATCGAGTCAAAGTTTCCGCACTGTGCCACCGAGCCCTTGCCTGGGCTCTGAGGCTGGTGAGAGGGAGAGTGTGTGTGAAGAGCACCCACGCCTTCGTCTTCTCCAGATGCACCCATGGCAAAGCTGACAGCGTCCTGCAGACCTATGACCTCTACGCCAACACACACCCCTCACTCTGCATCAGCCCACACATGAGTCAGTATGCTAAATAATTACTTTATGTGGCAGTGCATTAAAGGGGACCTATCATGCAAAATGCACTTTTGTACGTCTTTTATACATGAATATGTGTCCCCGGTGTTCCAGGGAACTCACCAAGTGTCAGAAAACACAACCCTCTCTATTTTCCTCCATACCCAAATCTCTAAAAAAGGGGCTGCAACGGATCTGATAAAAACTGATCCAGATTTGAACACTGTCCTGACGTCAGGACGGTGGCGCTACGGCTATTGGGCCAACTCCACCAATCAGGAGGAGACAGCCACGGCCATTGCCATTCGAAAGCGCTGGAGACGCTGTAGTACATATGCCAGGCCAGTAGATGGTGCTGTTCTCACAGAATCAACCCTTGCAAAAACAGAGCTAACATTTTTCAAATTGAGCGAAATGAGGCATGGCTAAAATGCATGATCTGTTTGGTATTTTGAAGAAAAAAAAAGTATAAATATGCCTTATATAGGTATGGTCCTACACTATATTATTCAAATATAGCATGATAGGTCCACTTTAAGCTACAAGGCAATGTCTTTATATATCAGTGCAGACAATTTCTATTAAAATCCAACAGATCATTACTTTAAAAACACTTCTGTAACTTTCAAAATGAACTGTAACACTTGACTGTCTCACCCTATTTGTTTTCTATATCACCCTACATCTATTTCAATATCTATGTCATACGTTTTTCACATTATATTTACAATACACCACTCAAATGGATAGTTCAGATGTTTTTAAATGTGGTTGTGTGAGGTCTTATCCATAATCAGTGCATTATCTTAAGTAGATGACAGTAAGCATGGACCAGTTTCGAGAAGCAGACAGATGCTATGGCACAGGAGCAAAAAAAGTACAGTTGTGGAAAGGGGTAACATACTTAGGACACCTAAAAGAAGCCCCACCCAGAAGAATATGCTTGGCTTTAGCAATCAGAATCAGAAACGGGTTTATTACCAGGTAGGTTGACACGTACGAGGAATTTGACTTGGTGTCGTGGTGCATACATAAAAGTAAAAAAAAAACACAGATAGCGAATAATTATAAGAACACTATAATATAAAAATTTTAAAAAAAGTATTTACATTGAAATAGAATGGAATATGTGCGGTAAAAACACCGCACATATTTTATATTTGATGTATTATTATTGTATCTATGCAGTGAGTGTCTCTAACGGGGACCTGTGGTTCCTGAAGTCATCATGAAGCCTGGTCCTTGTCCTCTCTGTCAGGTGGGGTGTTGGAGGAGGCGGTGCAGAGAGTCCGCCCCCCCCTGGTGTTGGAGCTGGGGATGCACTGTGGGTACAGCTCTGTGCGCCTGCTGCGTCTGCTGCCCCCTGCTGGCAGACTGATCACAGTGGAGCTGGACCCCCTCACTGCAGAGCTGGGGGAGGAAATCATTCTGGTGTCTGGCTTCAAACACTCCCAGGTACACACAGAGTGGATCAGCTTCTTCTATTTACTACATTCAAATACAAGTGCTTTGGAAACACAGTTGATGATTTTTTCTCGTTTAAGCCTTACACTCAGCAACTACTGAAATACTGTTAAAAATGGGTTTTATTTTAGAAACAAGTCTTGCTTTTGCTTGAATGTATTCTGTAATCATGTATGTGCTGGACTTTTCCAATGTTATACACAGGCATGCATCTTCACAATGCCTACAAAGCCTGCATACGCTCTTCCATGATGCACTGAGATGTATTAGTAATATCAAAGCCCTAACCCCCCATTGCTCTCTGTATTATCTGCCTTGATGGTCTGCCTTGTGACTCCTGGATTTAACCATTGGACTATTCTTATATATATAATGCTATCCCTGGTCTGCATCCCAGGACTTACTCTGCTCCCTGCAAGTCCATACTGAAGGGGGAAAAAAGGGCATTTCAGTTTACTCTCTTTCGAATCCGTTGCAAATCATATACATATTCAAAAGCTGGTCCTATTCAAGGGACACAACGAAAGGGATTCTTAATCATTTGGAAGCAGGTACAGTTGCAGGTCTTTCATATCTAATTTGTTTTTCGTTTAGATGTGTCTTTATGTGTTTTATTTGTTTTGCTGTCTGTCTTGAAAAGAGTGTTTTGAATCTCAATGAGTCTTCTACTCCTGATCAAATAAAGGATATAATAAAATAATAAATAAAGAGGTCAAGTGGCAAACTTGCTACTCTTAACAGAAAATTCTAATTTAAAGGAGAGATTCTAACCCATCTTCCTGTTCTCTTGTATTCTTTGCAGTTCCAGGTGTTGACTTCTAGCTCAGCTGAGGCCATCCCAACGTTGCCTTCTTTACTCACTGATCTTGATAAAGGGAGCAGTGAGGGCTTCAGTCTGGTGCTGATGGACCACGACCCCCAGCAGTACCTCCCTGACCTGCTGTCTCTGGAGAGAGAGGAGCTCCTCCGCCCCTCCGGCTGCTCCTTCCTCCTGATCCACAGGAAGCAAAGAGATCTCAGAGAAATCCTGGATCACATCGGAGCGAGGCCCGACTGCTACTGCATCAAATCAGAGCGCCAGGGTGTGACGGAGATCTTCTACCAGAAGGGAAGCACAGGGTTAGATAGGTGATACAGAATGTAAATATGGAAGTGAGTGCTTTTGGTTTGTGTGGACTAGATCAACCAACAGTGTTAAACTTCCTTATATTACCATAAAATGGTCAAAGAATTAAAGGAGCGGACATGAACTACTTTCTAGAATTTGTCAAACTGTTGTTGTTTTTCGTTGGTTGACATTAAAAATGCTTTATTTATATGATGTGTTTTACAATATTTGTATGTTTACAGTATTCGTGCTATAAATGACATTCGATTTCGACAAATTTAAAGCAGAAAAGGAAAGTATTATATTACAGATCTCTTATTATTTCTGTTGCCTCTCAGATGGCTTACAAAACCAATGTAACACATTATTTCAGGTGACACAAAACACGACTTTCTTTTGTGTGTTATATCAGCACATTCACAAAGGGCTTGCACCATCCCTTTTCCTCACAACAAAAGAAACAAAGAAAAATACGACTAGATGTAGATCACTTGGTAACCACTGGATGGCGCTCTCTGCTTTTTAAAACAATACAAGCTGAGGCTTTGAATTGGGTTTGATAGAAAATCCCGTAAAGGGAAATGTCAACCTTTTTAGGAACTTGAATATTCCTGCACTCAAGGACAGCTCAGTTAAAACCAGTAAACATATTTGTTGATGCAAACAGGAAATGAACAGCTTGCGTTCTGATTTATTCAAGATTTGTTTTGATGCACACTCCTTCTTGTGCATGATGTGATTTTTACTCTCAGTCCCCAATGTCAGTGTTTACAATCAAAAATAATCTTTCTCGGGAAAATTGCTCCCTAACCCTTTCCTTTCTCTTTAGAACACATCAGCATTCTTGCGCAAACTGGCCATAATGTCTTGGACTCAGAGTCTCAGCATTCACTAAATGAGGAGAATCACCGTTATCCTTTGGGCACAACTCATAGCCAGTTTCCTGATATCGCTTCTAATGGCACTGCTGAGGCTCTTATAGCAGCTGGAAAGCCATTACATGGTTTAGAGACAATTTAGTGCAGCATTTAAATAAATAATATTGCTGTGAAAATGCAATTTAATTAAATGCGATATTTCCAGGAGCCTAAGAGTGGGTCTAGACTTGAAGTCTTTATTCTTACACAACAGCAGGATGAATGTAAAACTATGAAAAGTTAGAGAGAGCTTGACTGCAGAGACGCGGGGGGGAAAGTGGTGCAAGTGATCAGATACTACATTAGATATGGAGTTTACGCAGTACATGCCCAGGGATGAGAACTTTGTAAATCCATCTAGTTTAACTGTTCACTGTAAACATCTCTACAAAGCAAAACAGGCAATGGAGATGGAAACAAATTGATGAGTTGCATGAATACTTTATGACCCCATAAATTGATCAATTTATACAGGAAAGCATTGGATTGTTGTCTCCTCCCCAACTGGTAATCGGTGTGGGAGGAAGTACTCGAGTCATATCCTTTACTTAAAGGGGACCTATCATGCAAAATGCACTTTTTTATGTTTTTTATACATAAACATGTGTCCCCGGTGTGTCGGGGAACTCACGCAGCGTCAGAAAATAAAACCCTCTCTCTTTTCCTCCGTACCCAAATCTGTAAAAACAGGGCTACAACGGAGCTGATCCAGATTTGCGTCCGATATGACGTAATATCTTAAATGTAGGCTGGCTTTACACCCACGGCCCTATCAGAAACGTTGCTATCAGAAACAATGCCCGACTGTTTTGGACGTAATATGGTCGGTGCATGTTTACATTAGCATCGCTAACACTCAGAGCTAACCTGTACTGGAGAGCATGTGTGTGAAGAAGCAGGAAATAAAAAGGAACTCACCTTGTGGTATAACCGGCAAGAGAGAAAGCCTTTGAGCTCCATACTGTTTCAGAGAGAATCCTTGATAATCCATGATATGGCGTTTCATCACGGCAGAATCTGCCGGTAGAATCTCCCGTATGAGCTCAGCCCCCTCCAATTTTTTTAATTTTTTTTAAAGCTTTATACCCCAAATCAGCACTTTTGAAACAGGAAGTGAAATAGAGTGATATGAGGCATGGCTAGAATGGGTGATCTGTTTGGTATTTTGAGCAAAACACTTCATAGACATGTTTTTTATATATTTTTATATATCTGAGACCTATGCTATTGCCTAAAAATAGCATGATAGGTGCACTTTAAGTACAAATATGATGGTCTTATACTCCACTACAAGTAAAAGTCCTTAAAATTATACTTAAGTGAAGTATTCACATCAAAAATATACTCAAAGTAAAACTACTCATTTTGCACAATGAACTTTTTCAGAACAATATAAAGAACAGAAGTATTATCAATGTACTTCAAATATCAACAGTGAAAGTACTCATTATGCAGAATGGATCTTTATCACAGTATTTGATTATTATGGTTATAATAGTATCCTGTTTTTATACATGTAAGAGCATATTAGTATTGCAGTTGGTCAATTTGGACCAAATTTAGATACTGTGTAGATTAGTAGTAGGCTACAGTATTGCATTATACCATATCAGCATATCATGTGTTATTATGTGTGCAAAGTGACTAGTAACTGTTGAAAAAACATATAGTGTAGTAGAAGTAGAATGATAAAGAAGCATTAAATGGAATACTGAAAAGTACTTCTGTACAATAATTGAGTAAATGTACTTTGTTACTTTCCATTACTACTGGTAATACTACTCCTGTTTAGAGAACTGCAGAAGCATAACCCTCCAACTGATTTGTAAGCAAAGCTAGTCTCAGAATCGGTATCAAGATAAAACTTTCATTCTAAATTTAGACACGTGCCATTTGGAAAAAGGTGACGCCCACTCATGAAAGTCAAACTACTGAATGTTATTATCGCTAATTAGCAATCTGGAGCATTTCACTGAGAAAATAGCAACATACAGGGTGGGTGTTACTGTCGGTGCATTTCTTTGTATCCACTAAAAGCAGGTTTGCAATGTGTGTTTTGGCACAATGATGAAATTAAAGATTCATGGCCAATTTGTTTTTCTTTGTAGATATTACATGAAAGTTTCTGAATCAGTGTTCTAGTTTTTTTAATTATGCATTTGATATTCCAGTAAACAAAGAAAAACAACATGGTGTGTAAATCACAGTCATTTGACTCAATTTTTTTTAAATCTAATTTGCACAAGTGAAAAGAAAAGCGGGAGCATTTGTTGGCTGCATGCAATCTGTGTTTGTATTCATGTGTCATGCTGTTTATCATGTTGTTTTGTTTACACATTTGTCTGTATTTCCTTACAACAAATACACTTAGAGATGACTCTTTGATCCTGTCAGGCATTTAGAGACAATACCAGAATTACAATACTTTCTCGCTGTACACAGAATGTCCCCAAACAGCAAGTATGTGATTGTAATTACATAAAGTAGACCGCCTGTAATGATTGCTTATTAGCTTTCACTAGCCAAAGCTCCCCAACACACCAGAGCAGGACGTGGTCAATCTCTCAGCTGTCAGACGTGATTTAACATTTCCTTGCCCTCCTTCAGAGCAGTATACACAATGATGTACAATCAAATGTAAACAACAAGCTCTATGACCACCCCAACCTTCCCCTTTCTCCAATTTCCCCCAAAAATGCCTTCTTTAATGGGTTCAATTTCGGGGATCCTCCATCATCAGGCTTTGAACTGCTCTCTGTGCTACGGACGCTGGAGAGCTGATGTAAACACAGCTTTCAATTATAAATCAAACTCTGAAAAGGAGCAACACTCCATTGCCCTCGGGCCCTCTGCACAACGGTCCAGCCTTCATACCCCGATGCCCCACATGGCACTGCTAGGAACGGATATAAACATCTACATTGGCTGTGAGCGTCAAAGTTATAGAGAAATTGTTGTGCTACTCATATACATGTTATACCGTCAACAGTGGCGGACTGGCCATCGGGAAGTTCGGGACGAATCCCGATGGGCCGGTACAGAAGTGGGCCGGTCGGACGATGTGGGCCAGTCGGATAATACACTAGTATGCCCCCCCCCCCCCCGTTGACAATTTACTAGCGGTATTTACTTGCGGTACCGAAGTGGGCCGGTCGAGAGTCCCGGGCTGATTTTTAGTCTCAGTCCGCCCCTGACCGCCAATGACTCTGTGTGACACTTAGAGTTGCAATGTGTAAGAATTTTAGTTTCAAACGTTCAAAACATGAATCAGCAGTGTCAACAGAATGTGAAGATGAAACAATTTGAGGTCAAAGAGGTCAATGTGTTGTGTTGGAGAGAGATCTACTGAAATTAGCATGCTATCTGACTTGCCCCAGGCTGTCTTGTTATACAAATTGTTTCATGAGAGATGAGCGATTGAGTCAACCTATACCTCTTGAGATACTTGGACTATGCTAAGGCTATGTTTCTGTTAGCTATTGTTCTTTTATTAAGTGCTTTGGTTAATTATTCACGACAGGTGACAGTGCCCAAACGCAGCCTTAAGTGCAAACGGCTGAAGAGTTTTTTTTATACGGTATGCTTGTAAGATGCTGGAAGTATGCACGTTTTTGACCTTTTAAAGTTGTTTGAGATATTTAATGCAGTGTTTAAGTATTTAGTAGTAAAACATCAACTTGGTAGTGTACATTGAGACTAATTGGCCTTATTAGGACCTTTGTGGATTTTATAATCAGCCAAAATAGCGCTTTGTCATTCGGTCATTTGGTGCCATCTGGTGTGTCGATGGTGATGAGAGCGGTGAGACTGAAGCAAAACAGTTAAATTGTACGCTGAGAGAATAACCCAATTAATTCAGAGACACTCAAACGTTCCATTAGACTGAGTGGAGTGGACGTCAGCTGTAAAGGACAGTCTTCAGGGAATATACTTTATTATGACACTTAACCCAGAGAATACCCAGAATTCACATGGACATATAATGGGAAGGACACAGTTTGATCATCTTCAACCACAAAAAGATTAGTTTTATGATCAGTGGAAGCAAATGCTATCTGTGAGGAGCTCCACTGTCACAGCATGTCAATCTTAACTGAGGTACAATTCCTCATTCTACATTTTTTTAAATTGTGTTGTAACTGAATTGGCCCACACACCTGCAGCACAACAATTGACTATCAGTAGTGATCATGTGTTGGATGAGATGGATGTTGTTTACAGCACAATCTTTTTAAATT